GAGCCTGGAGTTGAACTGGATGATTTAATTTAGGGTGGTGAGGCCCTGGCACAGGCTGCCCAGAGAAGCTGTGGCTTCCTCAACTCAAGGTCAGGTTGGATGGGCCATGGGCATCCTAAGCTGGTGGGTGGCAACCCTGCTCACAATAGAGGGTTGGAGCTCAACGATCTTTAAGGTCCTTTTCAAACTAAACTGGGAGTGATCCTGGAAAGATAGGGTGGTACACGAGAAACATGCAGCCATGGAAGAGCTTGTGCCGACCTGCATCCTTACACCCTGATGTGAGGAGGATGTAAAGGTTTCACTGCTCCTGCTGGCCAGATCAGACCAACGTGGAAATCAGCTCCGCACCACACAGCACACCTGTGTGATGAACAGGGCTTCCTCCACATTTGCCAACGTTTCTACCCAACCCTGCTGTTGCTGCTGAGCTGTCATCTCTGCTCTCTACCTGGCACAGAGCAACAAGCAAGGGGACAGCAAGCAACACCTCAAGAAATTTTCCAAGAGTACTGAGAAGGGTGCAATGAGGTCAGCTTCTCCCATGAAACGATCCAAACTGTACAGGGTAGCACAGGAGGAGAAATTCTCTCAGAAGATCAGCTGGGTTGACTCTGGTTACATTCCAGTCAATCATTTTGGCCCCCAGGTAAGGCACAGTTCCTGTGTGTAGGGGCAGGAGTGCCACAGGTCAAGAGATAAGCCCTGGGGCAGCACATCACCAGGCTGGGAAAGGAGGGCTGAGAAAAAAGAATTACACTCTTAGGGGCAGGCACTAAGAGTGGAAGAAAAAGCTTTGTCTATTTTTTTTTTTCCTTTTTTCTTTTTCTCTAAAGAATAACAGGGATGCTGTTTTCTACCACACTACCCTCACACCACGGTGATGGCAATCAAGTTGCCCTAATCTGGGGAAAGCACCGGGGGTCAAGGACAGTCAGAGGACAAGGGATGAGGCTAAATTCTCATCTTCATGCTGAACACCTCCTGCTCAATTTGTACCTCTTGCTCGCTCTCTTTAGGTTGCTTTTAGGAAAATCACTTGATTTCTATACCGCTGCTGTAGAGGAGGAGGATGGGATTTGTAAGCTCCTCTGGGCAGGGAGAGAAAGTCACCTATGTAAAGGAATCAACATAATGAGACCTCTTAATCCCAGACCTCACAGAAGTTTCCCATCCCAAAGTGCTAAACAACATAAAATAACATGCTTAACTTAAAAGTCCTACAGCTTTATTAATTTTCCTGTTCTTCAATTGTAAGGCACACTCTCATAGTAACAGCTAAATCAGCAGTGTTCCTAACCGGTATTGCAAAAAATGCCCCAAGATAAAGTTTTCTTAACACACCCAGATCCATGCTCTGAAGTCTTAGGTCTAACACTATTCACTTAGTCTAACACTCAGCATTTCCTCTCCTCTTCCTTGCCATTCATCCTGCTTCACTGACTGCACCTCATGCCTGACTAATTACATTTACCCTAACAACGGCATCAAAGCAGGGCCCTGATGGTGATTTGTGCTGACCTCTGAGTGATGTAGAGGAGTGAATGCATGGAGAGGACCTTCTCCACGTGGCACAATGATCCTACATTATTGTATACCATGCTCCTAATACATAAACACATTCCTCCCCAGGCCCATATGGATAAAGAGATCCCACTTTTCTCTGTGCTATGTAGCATTTACTTGGGCTGCTATAATTAAGGATCTTTGATAAGATCTGCTTATATAACCATGGTGATTAGTGAAGTATAGAAATGGAAGCAGATTAAATGAGATTACCAACTACAGCTGTATTACAGTGTACATAAGTTGCTTTCTCTAATTAATTTTTGATGCTGCATCTTAAATGGATTCTCTTTCCTCATGTTTGTGCCTTGTTCTCAGACGTGGCAAGTAGAGAGCTAGTAAAACTGTTCAAAGGCTTTGCTGTCTGTCAGCTAATTATCTCTACACACCCATTGTTAACAAAATCCTTCTAACTGGAGAAGCCAGGTGTGTACTGGCCTAGAGCTCCAGTTATCTCTTTAATACATAGTTCTGGGCTTGAGTAAAAAGTGCATGCCATTTTCTATTGAATGCATAATGTATACTATTGTTCTCTTTTGTTTCACAACCACTGTTTTCTTCTCCTTTCCTCCTTGTTCTGCCTCTCATAAAACTGTTTCCCTACCTCCTTTTTCTCTTCTTCTCTTTTCTCATCTCCCCAGCCCTGAAAACCAGGCAACCAAGTAGGTGTGTCACCATCTTCTTCTCATCAGGTAACTGTTATCTAGTATGGTGCTGAGTTTAAGGCAAACCTGAGCAATGGAAGGTTTGTGGCAGCATTTAACCATGTAGATCTAAACGAGTTGGGGGTGGTGGTGTAATCCACTCTAAGTCACTAGCCTGTGGAGAGTATGCTCACACAATCAGTTGTAATGTTGCTACCATCTCTAATGTAGATGTAATTCTGGCTCTTTGACACTGGATTAATTACAAGCCCATTGGCACCTCATGAAGTCACAAAATAAAAAAAAAAGGGCACCTGGTTTCAATTCTTGATTCACGCATAGATACCTGTAGATGGAAGCAGGTACATAAAATGCAGAGCATAGAAATACCTTTCCCTACATGGAGGGTACCATGTAGGTGCAGACCTACTCTCAGGTGTGTTTCAGTGCTGGTGCTGTTTCAGGCACTGGCACATATACAGCCAGGATGAGCACAGGGGGGGCGCAGGATGCAGGAAGAGGCAGTGGGTTCCAAACCTCAAGTGTGGATGGGGTCCACTGTCACTAGTGTAAGGGGCTCCTGAGGTATGGAAGACTCCTATGGAAACAAAGAGCAATGTAGGAGTGGGTTTATTTTTCAGTAGAAAAATGATTACTATTTTACAAGTCTGAAAAAAGACAATGATTATTCAAGTACCAGCAACCCATCAAAACACTACCAGTACAGTAACACGTGCGCCACAGAACTTTGCATTTTTCTTTAAACTTTTACAGTTAATGAGTAATTTTAGGCATGTACTCCTGCTGAAGACTTTGTAAGATCTCTGCTTGTCATGTTCAAAGGCACATTTCCAATATGGGAGCAGCTGTTTTGTTTTCTAATAGCACCTCCAGGTCTGTTGTCTGAGAAGCACACATCTCAATAGCAGCAAGCTTCACAGGACTTATGGACTGTCTAAGTTAAAGCAGTGCTCTGGAGGACAGCTTCTGCTGTCAGTGATATGCTGTGCTACACAAGATATCAAAAACATCAATCTGTGAACAAGGTAAAGAGTCAGAACCCACTGTACTTCCAACAGTAAAAACACCAGAGAAAACTAAATTAGTTCCCCAGAAAGAAACATGCATTTCAACACATCACCTGAAAGCTTTAACACATTAAAGCAAAACAAACAAACAAACAGTTTTGTTCTGCTTATCATGTAAAGCGTGTACTCTGGGAACACGTCACAAGCTGCTTTTAGTGCTGAATCCCAACCACCAGCAACTTCAGCTTTGTTGGAGCTCACTGTGGGCTGCTTTAGTTGCAGTTCCCCTGACAACTGAGGCTAGGTCAGGCCTCATAGCAGGTCCTCACCAGGGGACTGGGCTGATCTAGCAGCACACTATTACTGAAAGCGCTTGTCCTACTCCTTCATCTGCAAGTACAGCTGCTGAAATCCTGATCTTCCCTTCTGTTTGGCACTTATTTCACTACTCAGTGAGCCAGTTTAGCTTGCTACATGAGCAGGAAATCACTCTACTATCTGCAAGTTTGTTTTTTTTCTACTTGTTTCCTAAGTTTATATATGGTAGGAGGCAGGTGTGCAGTGAGCAAATAACAGTTGCAAAAAAAAAGAGCATCCTCTAATAAACAAACTTTTGGGGCTCATAGGTCGCAATGCAAAGCTAAGCAGCAGTATCTGTTTCCAGAAATAAGATCTTCTCAGATTTTGCCTGTGATTTCTGCTTCTAGTATCTGGATCCTAATCATGAAAAGTGACTGAACTGCCTTCATTCTGTTAACTACTATCCAAGAAATGAATTGTTGCTGGAATTGCTGTTCCTTTTTTAAGGCAGCTGCATTTTAAACATCTTCTGGAGTCAGGAAGGGGTCAGGGCATGATGTAGCAAGCACTCATGTTTGTGAACAGTCCTACTGGCTACAATGACACTATGAACTTTATATGAAATAAAGGGTATTTGTAAATGCTTCAGAAAAATATGACATACATTTTACTTGCAGCAGACTGACTGCTCAGCCTGTTTTTTGTACCACAATTATTCTTCCTTTATAAGGAGGAGTATTTCTAAGTACATTTATAAGGCCTAAGAGAAGCTATTGTTATGACCATCAGTGTAAAATACTGTCAAACCACAAACAGCCATTGTGTTGCCCATCTACCAAAACCAACATCAGTCACTGTGGCATAAAATGAAAAGTAATTACAAGGAAGAAGATAAAAAATGAGCAAGTTTTGCTTCCCTGCAGTGACTTTCCAGAACGCAGTGAACAAGAGGGTGGATGCAAAGTGTGTGATGGCCAACATGACCCTCCTGACCTATGCCAGGCTGGTTTTTGAGTGCACGGAGCAGGTTCTACATTGCCACACAAGCCAGAGACCCACACTGATGAGCAGCACCACATCCCTGGAGGCCTCAAAGCCAGGCTGGATGAAACCCTGGGCAGCATGATCCACTGAGTGGCAGCCCTCTCCACAGTAGAGAGGTTGAAATTAGATGGTCTTTAGATCCTTGCTAATATAAGTCATTCTACGTCAGTCCCCTATCCGCAAACCCCTACACCTGCTGCCCGCTCTTCCACCCCGCCTCAGCTCCAGCGCCACACTGCACCGCGCATGCGCGGCAACGACCCCGCGTGGCGCTAGCACCAGCCGCGCAGCCGAAGGGGTTGGGGGAGACGGCCCGCACGGCTACACCAATCAGGAGGTAATCTCTTCGCGCGCATGCGCAGGGGGTGGTGGAGGCGGCGGCCCCATCCCGCCTTTGCAGGGGCAGACGAGAAGCGTTTCCGGCGCCGCGGCTGTGACGTGTGCGGTCGGCGCCGGGCTGTCCGGCGGGCGGGCGGTGGGAGATGGCGGAGTATCTGGCCTCCATCTTCGGAACAGAGAAGGACAAGTGAGTGCCCCATCCCTCTTCTCGCGCCGCTCCCGCGCTTCGCGGGTGGGGGCTGGAGTGAGGCCGGCGGCTGCGGCGGGATCTGCTTTGCACCCGCGGTGCCCGGAGCGTTCCGTCGCTGCTTCCCTTCAGGGGCTGCGGCGCCCCGTCCCCCCCCCCCCCCCCCCCCCCCGCGCAGCCTGGGCCGCGCGCTGGAACGCGGCGCCCGCGGAGGGAAGCGAAGGGGAAAGAGGCGGCCGCGCTCCCTCCTCTCACCCTTCCCCCCCCCCCCTTCGCGCTCAGCCTGCGGCGCGGTGTCCTCCCCTCCCCCACCTCCGGGCTGGAGCGCGCGTGCGCGCGCCGCCTCCAAGGAAAGAGGGGGAGTGAGCGCCCCCGTGTGCGCGCGCCGGCCCCGCCCCGTGTCCGGGCTGGGCCCGCTCCGCTCTCTCCGGGGAGCGCCGCCGCCATGCGGGCGTGCCCGCGCCTCGTGGCGCGCCTCCGGCCCTCTTCCTCTTCCCCGCGGCGGCTGCGCCGTACGACCGGGCCTCGCTTTCTCCTTTTGTTCAACACTCGGCACCCGCCGCACGGGGCGGCTGTGCTTCTCTGGAGCTGTGTGCTAACCCTGCCGTCTCTCCTGGCGTAAGCACTGCGATCTCGCAGGGAGTCCAATCCCTGTGCTCGCACTGTTTGTCTGAGCGGCGAGTGGAACGCTCTGCGAAGTGTTAAAAGTTTGAAGGATTACTGCACACTGTAGAGTTACGAACATGAGAATAATGATTTTTTTTTTCTTCCAGGAGAATTTTTATTTCCCTTTATGCACATCCAGCCCATAATAGCTTTTATGCCTTCATAACTTTGCTTGCAGTTTTCCCGGTTGAGTTAACTTGAGCTCTTTGTGCTGCCTCTTCCACCATTCTGCATCCACGAGATTTCTACTGGCATACCCAAACCAGCTGTTGCTGGGTGGTAGTTGGAGCAAGAGAAGATATAATGAGCAGCAAACATAAATAAAGCTTGCTTTACAAAGAACTAGATCACAAAGATGGCTTGGCGAGGAAATATGCACGCGCAAGACAAATCCTTCCTTTGTGTACACTTCTTTCCCTTATCTGAATTATTTCAGATAGCATCTTGGTAGTGCTTTTAGCTCCCGTTGGAGTGTAACCTTAAACAGGTGGGTTTTTAAAACATTGCATAGGTGCAGCTGTATCAGTTTTAAAGCACATTATATTGCCTAGAGGAAGGGGTTGCATGGAGGACATAACTCTATAGCTTGTGGTGTAACTTTTCAGACAGCTCTTCACGTTACTTCCTATCCCTCCATACCACAAAATTGACAGAAAGACAAATGAAGGGAGGGATTGGAAGGGTAGAATAGCAGTAATCGCTCATTTGCTTTTCCACATCAAAATAAAGGCATTTGGGGCATGTTTTATAGGAACTGTATACTAACTTCTTTCTATTCCAGTATGTGACTACTTTGGGTTTTATACTTGCAGAGTCAACTGTTCGTTTTATTTCAAAATCGGAGCTTGCCGTCATGGAGACAGATGTTCTCGGTTGCACAACAAACCAACATTTAGCCAGGTTTGTTTTCCTTTTGCTTTTTATTTGTTTGTTTTGAATTCGTAGAAGTATATTCTTTAAAACATAGATCCTCAGATAAAAGTGAATAATTACAGAGCTCCAGATTAAGTAGTTCACTTTTGGCCCCAGTTTATATGGGATTTTGCTTTTTTGGGGGTATTCCATTTACTTCTCCCAGCATTTCTAATCATCTCCTGTCACCCTTAATGGCTGCAGGAAGCGATGCTGTTGTAAGCTTGCCTGTAGTAGAGACCAACCAGTGCTAACTTTCAGGTGAGTGTGCCTTCTCAGTGATGTTAGGCACTTAAACCTTCCCAGATTTTTTTTATTATCACAACTAATAGCAGCTTGTTCCACCTAGCCAAAAGGTGTGAACTTAAGTCTTTGCATATAAGAGAAAGAACAACAACAAAAGCAAATAAGTGACTTTCCTGTCACTGTTTTTGCTCTCTGACCCAGGCTCTTAAGTTTCAAGTGTAACTTACTTGCTTCTTTTGAACATGAACAAATTATTTCTTGAAAGCAACTTGCCTGGTTGCCGAGGGCGTATACATCAGTTAACTTGACAGATTACTTAGATTTTGGCTATCTAAACATTAGGGACAAGATGAGCGACAGCACGTCTGCTTAAAGAACTGGTGCAGAGGGTGATAGGGTTGTTTTTGTTATTATGAGCTCTATGGTTTTCAGAAAACTACTTTTACCTGGAGAATTATATGCTTTTCCTTTTTCTATCACCGCTGATTGTCAAGGTGTGCAGGTAAATAGATTTCTTTGGGAGAGCTGTGTATGATGTGCTCATGGAAACTGCTGTTTTAGGAGCAGTTTTATCTGCAGAGGTGAAATTTACGTAGCAGTGGGGAGTCCTCTGGGCTGGTGTTGGTTAAGGGGGAGTTCAGAAGGCAGGTAACAGCCACAGGGCTGGAGGTTAGAGGTGGTGCTCCTGAAGTGAAACCTATTAAATACAAGTGGTCTGTGGGTGTGCTATGCAGGAGTGGTTTGAGGGATAGAAACTGTCAGGGTTGTGAGCGCTACTGCTGGTACTTCATCAACAGAGGGAGTTTTTCCATCTAAGGGAACTTAATAATTCTTAGTGTAGATACTGCTTATCAAACAGTACTGTCCATTTTTCTAACTGTTACTGATATACATGGACAGCATACTGAAATCATTAGGTAATGTAGAGGCTTGAGTTTAGGTTCTTGGCTACTAGAAGATAATTTGAAACTAGACAACTTCCACAGTGGTTGTTATAATCTTAAAACCATATGTGTATTTTTAAGAGAGCATTTATAAGCCCTTTGGCTGCAGCCTTCAGTTTTGCTGCCGAAGCTGCAGTTAGTACTGCTGGCTGAAGTGGGTCAGCAGGGCATGCTGGAATCATCTGGCGACATCTGGGAGTGCTGCTCTTGGCTGACACACTGTATTGGAACATCTGCAGCGTCTGGGATTCCTTACAGAAATCTTTATTTGTGTGCAGATTGGTAATCAGCTGTGATAGAAAATAGAGGAAGAAATATGCTATTAATGGGAAGCTGCTGCCTCAGTGTTTCTATCTTCCCCTGGTGCGGCCCTTATTGAAGGGCTGTGTAAGGCAAGGTTATGCAATCCAAAGCGATCAAATTACCACCAATTAGCAGAAACACTGTAACTGTGTTTCTGGCTCTCTCCAATTGTAGAGTAAAACAGTTATTTTAAACCTGGGCCACGGAAGCACAAAGCTTTGGTTGATAAGATCGTACCTGTTATAAAACAAGTGTGTGATTTAAATGTGATGCTACAGATTCTGTAATGTTAAGTGGTCAGCATATGTAGGTATGACATTGCTGGTCCTGTGACTTTTTTTTTCATGATGTAACTAATGATAATGTATAAGCTAGGATAATTTGGGGACTGCGATTTGTACTAACGTTGAGCTTGTACTTTAAGTAAGTAATCACGTTTCAGTTTTTGAGCTGCTTACAGTGATATGGACATTTGGATTTTTTTTGATTTTTTTTGATTTTTCTTTTTTTTTTTTTTTTTGTAATATTAGTTTACTAACTTAAACATGGTTTGTTTTTTCAGACAACTTGATTTTAAGAAGAACGGTACAAATGTAAGGTTTCAAGTCTGCCTGGGCTAATTCTTCAAGTAAAAAGCAGAAGGGCTAAAAGGATATTGTCCTTATTTGAAGGATCGGAAACATGCGAACCTATGATGCTATTATATTATTTAAACAGAAATTCCACCAAGAAATTCCCGATACACAAAACGAGATGCAGCTCATGCCTAAAAACCTTATGGTGTGGTGTAACGTTCTAGGCTCTGTGGCATTATGTATTGTATGCTGTGCACATAACACTTACTTTTTTTCCTAGACTCACAGTAATGAATCTGATCTTCAAAATAAGATGAAGCTAGGTGTATCCGTCCTATCACGTAGTTTGGTGTTTCAGGTTACTGTGCCTCACAACTCCCATTTTGAGGATAGCTGTTGAGACAAACGCAGCTCTTTCTTGGTGGTTAATTACAACTGTTTTCATAATATGATGGTCTGGATGCAATTGGAAGATTTTCTGCAAATGCGAAAAGGAAGTCTTAAGAACAAGCTATTACTTTTAGATGTTTGCAAACAAGTTGTCTCTTTGCAATTGTCTATTATATGCACAGCAGCCAGTAGAATTCCCCTTTTTATTTTTTTTCCCCGCAGACCATCTTGATTCAAAACATCTATCGTAACCCCCAAAACAGTGCACAGACGGCTGACGGCTCACACTGTAAGTCCCACAGTTGGAGAAATTTTTTTAAAGAATGGTGTTAAAGAGCCCACTCCTAATTACGAGAAAATCATGTTGGCTTCTGAGCTGCTGACATAAAGCTGTTGCAAACAGGACAAGTGATGGAACTCTTCTTGCGCATATATCAAGAACTTGTCAAATGTGTGCAATTCAGAATGCAGAACGTGGTTTCATGAATTGGACTTGATGCAAATTGGATTGCTTAGTAACGCTGCATTCTTTTTAAAGGGTTAAACTGCAGGCATTTATCAAATTCTTGATCCAACAACAACAACAAAAAAATAGGTCTATTTGTGATGTACGGTAAGTTTCCCAGACTGTGGTTCTTCTTTCGCCTTAACTTTTATAGGAAGATGGAGATCTCATGTCATGCTCCGATATTGTATTATCTCTGTTCCTGGGGCTTTGTTACTAAGAATCCATTCAGGAAGACCAAATTCATGCGAGTATGATTGTGGCCATAGTTTTGAATACTGCTTTTGGGTACCGTTTATTACGTGTCTGCATGAAGTCATGCAAAACCCCTTCACAGGTTAATATTGGTTAATAAAATAAAAGTAAAATACAATAGTGGAGTATCATGAGATCTCTTATTTTACAGTGTTAGGATTATTCAGAAAGGTCACCAGCTAAGAGAAAGTTCTCCTTCTTGGGAGAAAATAACCACCTCTCTTTCAGCACAGACTCGGCTAGAGCGACCCTAAAGGAAACCAGTTTCTTGTTAAAATTATTTTCTATAATATAAAGTTGTTGCGTTTTGTATTTCAGACCATTGCCCTCTTGAACATTTACCGTAACCCTCAAAACTCTTCCCAGTCTGCTGACGGTTTGCGCTGTAAGTTCATACAAGTTCCTTCACTGGTTCCCTGGGCTTGATTGTCAGAGCTCAGTGTCGACTTAAGCTGGTCTACCATATTAGTTTAACAGATCAAACTGACCACGTTTAATGAAATGTGCCCCCAAAAATACCCAAAACTTTTTGTCCCGCTCACCTTCTTCCCTACTCTGAAAACTATGAGGGGAATCTGAATACTATCTATTAATTAAGTTGGAATTGTACTTTCCCTGTAAAAGCAGTCTTGATGCACTGCCTTCATCCGCCCCTCCTTTCTCCTTGCCAGCTGCTTGCTTCCAAGCAGTGCTTTTCTGTATGTCTTATGGTATCCATGAGATTCCACCGCCTAAAAGAGCAGGATAATGACACGTTGACTTCATCCAGAGTAAATTTCCTGCTGTCATTGTTAAGGGAAGTTGAATTTGAAACTCTTCAGACTTCAAGCAGAAATTTGTTCTAGGTTAATGATGTGGCTTCCATTTTGTAGTCTGCTTTGGAAGAATGCACTGATAATAGCTTCCCTTTTGGCAGCTGTCCTTTTGGATAGGTGCATGGTTAAAATTCCTTCCATGCTTTGAAAATTCAAATTCCAAAACCAAGTTGCATATTCATGTAGGAAAATAAACCTTTAAAAGTACTTTTGAGGAGGGGCAGCCATTTGTGCATGGTCACAAATTAACTTGATGACTCCTCATGAGGTAGGAATGGACAAAAGAGGAAAACATCTACTCTAAGACTGGTAGAAATTAAATGACCAAGATTGTTGATCTGCAATTACTGACCTGTTATTGTGACTGAAACATCATATTAGAATAAGATTAAATTTAAAAACTAGAATCAAAAAGGATCGATATTATTTTCTAACTAATATTTCTTGTTGAAGTGAATATGACTGTGTGGTAATAAAGCTTTGTTTGGCTATTCCTTTTTTGGGCTGTTGGATTACAGACTAGTTCAGATTAGTTACCAGCATTTGTGAAATCAACCACTACCTTAAAAGTCAACACTGTGTCGTCTGCTTTAGAAGTAATAATGGCCCAGTTAAGCAACTCGAGCTTGTTTTATGTGAAGCGATCAAGCTAGATGCATAATGAGCTGTGTAAGTTTGTCTAGATGCTAAACACTTCCATTGGTTTGTAGGCCTCACTGCAGATGCTTTGTAATTAATGCTGTTTTGATAAAACAAAAACGTTCAGTTGGGTTTTTCCACTGTCCCTAAATTCTCAATGCGCTGGTAACTAATTTGCACGGTTACAGCAGTTTGGTCTGTGGAGCTATTTAGATTGTACAGCTGCGAGAGTCTTGACTTGAACAGACCCTCTAGTCTTCCAAAAGCTGGTATCCAACTTCAGTTTGCCTTGACGAGTGGGTAGTCATTTAACAGAGCCTGCCTGTACCTTGTGTGGTAGAGCTGGTATCAGTACGTTTGCTGAAACTCCCAGCTCCCCGTTTTTTCCATATTTTTGTCCCAACTTAAGTACTGCATGTATTTTAAATGGGTAACTCGGGTAGCTATTGAATGTGTTGTTTGTTGCTTAACTGTCTTCCTTTCTATTGCCGTCGTAGAGGATTAACCTTAGTTTTGAACGATAATAGTTTTCCTGAGTATTTTAATTAGTAATGGGGCTTCTCAAGGTTCAGATACCGGTGGCCCTGGAACATGAATGTTTGTAAAGCCTGTGCATATGTATGCTTCCCACTTAGAAGGACCTTCACGTAGTCATTAACTAACTGTTGCTTATGATCTCTTAATTTGACAGTGGAATCTCCTTAAAGTTTCTAGCACTCATCCATTTGGTTAAAATTAATTATTCCCTATGTGGCTCACGGAGCCCCCATCTGATATCTTAAAAATAAATAAATCCTTAGGTATCTATAAGCTGTTATGAGTGGTGACTGCACCACCTTGGGAATATAGTGAAGTATTGCCTGTCTAGAAGAACTGGTTGAATGTTTGGTATTTGCTTCGTTTGCTGTCTAACTGTGGGAAAGTGGTGAGGAAGATGAAAGCTCTGAAAGCAAACATTTTTCAAATCAAGAAACGTGAACCTAAACTGCATGACAAGCCTCCCTTAGCCTTCTTCAGGAGGCAGCTGGCTGGGAGAAAAATAATTGCAGTTCCAGAGAATGTGGCTGGTTACTGTTAGAGACTTTGAAGAAAGATGCTGTGTTCTTCCAGATGGTACTGTTAGCCAAAAATGGCTGAGCCCAAGGCATCTGTTTTTTCATAGCAGCCCAAGCTGAATAAACTTAGCCTTGTTGGCTCTGTTTCTTTCGCATTCTGTGAACTAAAACAGCAGTGTTTGTAATTTAAAGGCTAAAATATTTTTCTAGCCTGAAATGCAGGGTTCATTTTAAAACTGCTCCACTCACTTGATCGTAATAAACCACTTAACTGCTGAAGAGCTAATCCATTAGGCTTTAATGTATACAGCTTAATATACCTTAAAATACCATAGAGTAGTGGAAATAAATTAAACTTATTTTTATATTCTTAATGCTCTGTAAATCAGCCAAACTTATGTTGCTTTTTTAATGGCAGCAGGCAAGCAGCGTTCATTTGTGAAGTGCAGCTTGGAGCATGTAAAACAGTTTAACTTATGTGGCTGGCTTATCTTGCACTAAAATATTTTTTCAGGGCTATAAAAAAAACTAAGTGATACTTTAAAAACAAAAAACAAACCCCAAACAGTGCTTTCTGTTGCAAGGCATTGTAGTACCCTTCTTTGGGAGCACTTAAGAAGCACCATTTTAATAACTCCTCTGAGGAAATTGTTAAAAGAATTAAATAAAATTCTGAGCTGCGTTACTTGGTGAACTCTCACATTCTAATATCTATGTGCTGGAGATGGAGAGGTGGATTTGTTAAAAGGAAATTCTATATTTAGGGAGAGAAGTGATAAACTGCAATTGTACTTAGAAATATGCACCTGTGACAAAGCACTTGCCTTCTGTTTAGGTAACATTGTTGGTAGATAAAGGGTGGAATTGTGCATCAAACGTAAATCATACTTCAGAGCAATTCCGTTCCCTTTCCTCCCTTTAGATTTGTGGCATACAAGTTTGGTTCTGATTTAAAATTGGTTCTGATTTGATCATGTCAATAGAATGCCTTGACGTATTATTTTGGACTTTAAATTGTTGGCATATACCGATTTTCTTTAATACTCCTGTTAGTTAGCTACATGATATATGGTGTCCTTTATGCTCCAGGTGGCACCTCTAGGTTACGTTTTGTAGTATAAGCATTTATTTCTTTCGTGATGGGCTCTAATCGGTATGACTCTTGATTTTTGCAGGTGCTGTGAGCGATGTTGAGATGCAGGAGCATTATGATGAATTCTTTGAGGTATGCAGAAAAAGCGAATGTTCAAAATGCATTAAAGTGTTCTCAGATTTACAGAAGCAAATGACTTAAGTGGGTTTTGGTGAATATCACAAGTAAATGGGTTCAGAGAAGACCATTTGTTTCCTCAGGTGTTTGTTTAAACTTCAGACTTTCAGTGCTAAGTATTTGCTGGTGTAACTTCAGTTTAGCTTTACTGTATATAACAGGCTTTGTTTAAAAATCATCAACCCATGCTGAGTGGCATTTGGATTCTGTAATCTCTTCTGTAAATGAAAAAAAAAACCCAACACATAATCATTTGTATGGATATACATGTAAGGAACACTATAGCTGCAAGGCTTATGTGTGGTGTTTTTAGTGCTTCTTATGTGTTGACTAAATACTGTATGCTTAATGTTTTCCTTAGCTTTTTATTTTATCCTGTTAGCACTGTGCTTACAGGTGGACGCAGTACAGGCCAAGCAAGTACCAATTTTAAGATGGGAAATGTAAAGACTTCAAAGAATGGTCTTCTTTCAGTTGTTACTAATAGTTAAGTGCATCCGTTCCGCACTTTAGCATGTCCCAACATGTTAATTTTCTTTATTTTTTAAACCGGTTTGTGTTCAGGAGGTCTTCACAGAAATGGAAGAAAAATACGGTGAAGTTGAAGAGATGAATGTTTGTGATAACCTTGGAGATCATCTAGTTGGAAATGTATACGTAAAGGTAGGATTAAAAAGAGAATTGTTAATTGAAATGAATAGAAGTAGTATGACAGATTCGTAAGTTTAAAAGCGCTGTACTCTTGTAGCTTCTGTGCAGGTTGCACTTCAGGATCCTAAATGCTCTCCAGCTTATTACTATAAGTTAAAAAGAGTGGAAGTAGCAATGGAATTTGAAACAAATCTTTAGAAACAGTGAAAAGCGTTTCTGATACTTAAAGTCTGTGTCAGTTTATTAAGACACATGCAACCTTTTTTGCCTGGTTAATAAACAGTCTCTGCTGAAGGTCTCTTAACTGACCAGTATGAATTCTGGATCTTTTTTCCTGTCATGCTGCATTCTAAGAACTTCACTAAGAGTAGAGGTTTATTTGCAGCAGGTGCTCATGTTCAACAGATGCACTTAGTTCCTAACTTCCCAGTTAAACAAAACATGTTGTAACCAATGGTACTAGTTGGTTTAAGGTCCAAACTGAAGGGCTTAGGTCTAGCTGTTAAAAGCTGTCGATACCTGCTTTCAGTCATATGTACACAGTTACCCACTTGCAGAAATTTTGTTGTGCATGCAAAGTGTCAGGAAGATGGTGAACAAGAGCAGGTGAATATTTTTACTGTAATTTTCCTGAACTGGGAAATATTTTGGGGCCATGTGTGTATGACTGCATGTATCTGTGTAGACAGTAATAATCGGAAAGAAAAGTTGCTTCTGAAAATTTATGTTGGGACTGTGGGGAAAAAAAAATTCATCTTCTTTTTGAAAGAGGATCTAAGTTTCTGTAAGTGAACAAGGGCTTCAGTTCTCATGCTGATTTCTCTTAAACGCTTGAAGAAGTTCTGTTACGTTTGGAGCATTAGTATTACATGATGCACACTGTGTTTAAAGTTGTAGTGAGAAGGCAGCATTCCCATAACTTACATTATAAGCTGCAAAACTGAAAAGACCAAGAGAATATAGCTGTGAAAAAGTATCTGTTGTGATTAGCCCTGAATTCAAATCGGTGAAAAGTAGATTATTTATTTTTACCCTGATGAGACTGTCTGTCTTAGGAGCTCTGAAGTAGTTCGTAGTTATATTAGTAGTCCTAAGCCACAGATAACATGAACCTGTTTTGTCAGGAATCTTTGATCTACTTCTGTTGCTTCTCCACAGCATGAAAAAATATTTTTGCTTTTAGTTTCGCCGTGAAGAAGATGCGGAAAAGGCTGTGATTGACCTGAACAATCGCTGGTTTAATGGACAGCCTATTCATGCTGAGCTTTCACCTGTGACCGATTTCAGAGAGGCCTGTTGCCGTCAATACGAAATGGGGTAAAAAGCAACTTCCTGTTTGCCTATGGAAGTGTCTTTTGAAGTGTTTGCACAGACAAGATGGTTGCTTGGGTGTGGGTTTTATGTGTAATTCAGAGTAAGATGAAAAAGCACTTCAGGCAACGGTAATCTGGAGAATCTAGTCAGCTTCTTGACTTTTACATCTTTTGGATTTTGATCTAGGAGCAAGTCAGTTTCAGTAAATGTTCTTTACTGTTTCTAGTATTAGAGGTGATGAACTTGTGAATGGCTAGAGACCTAGTAAGGGCTTAGGGCAAACAGATCCACTTTAGAGCTGAGAACTATAACTCTGGCATTTCTTTTCAGAGAGTGTACACGAGGAGGTTTCTGCAACTTCATGCATTTGAAGCCCATTTCTCGAGAGTTAAGACGTGAGTTGTACGGGCGTCGTCGTAAAAAGTGAGTTTGCTTTTAAACAACTAAAACAGATACATTACGCATCAGTTGTGTAATGTTCAGAAGACAAACCTTATAAACTTCAGTCTTCTCTTGCTTTTTCTGACGTGCACCTGTGAAAGGCATTGAGTACAGCTAGAAAGCAGACAGCTTAGAACCAAAGAGTGTGTTTTTTGTAAAAACAACCAGAAGTATGATTCTGTCAAGATCTGTGGATCATTTCAGGACCTGATGAGTATTTACTATTTCTCTTTAGTTTGATTTAACAGTTAATGGCTAGCTTTTGTAGCCAGTATTTGTTCCTTAGCAACAGGAGGTTAATACTAGAGTATATATTTATTAAGATACTTTGTGGAAAAGCTTACATCACTGCTGTTAATGCAGCATGTTTTTGTGGATGGTCCACTTTGTGCTGGATTGAATCCCTTTGGTTTTAGGAACTTCTTATTTAGGTTAAGCATGTTTAATTGTTGGATTTGCTTTTGTATGGAGTGGTTTTATGTGGCTCTTTCAATCACAGAGGGAGCCTGGGAATATGAAAATACTTTTCCTGTAAGTGTCTCTAATAAGCAGCATCTTAAAATCTGTGAGGATAAATTTAACTTTCAAAATGTGAATTAACATGTTTAACTTTCTTACAGTGTTCAAACTTCAGTGTAATTTCTTGGGGTGTTCAAACAATTTGTGAAAAAAGATTAAATATGCTCATCTTAGCCTTTTGGTCACACCCAAGAATCTGAATCTTTCTGACTTAGGCACCAGTAAGTCATCTTTTATCGCAGTAAAGATCAGACTTGCATATCTGGCTGTGGAATATGATTGTTTTACCATGGCCTAATTTCAGTCTGGGGTCAAGCAAATAAAATAGTTGAGTCCTCAGAGTATTTTAGTCTTTATTTGCCCTCTTTAAACTCTTGGTGAAGCTAAAGCTGTCACATGCTAGCAGTAAGGCTGGATGTTAAAACATGCACTTCTTGCATCAATGGGGTTTTGCAGGTAGACTGTATAGATTAGAATGACCTGAAAATACGCCTACATAAAATGATGTACTTTGAAATTTCAAGTAGAAAAAAGAAGGGTATACCTGAACCTGTGAAAAATAAGCTAATTTAGTAATTCTGAAGCTCAGTGGTATGCAAGACCTGTATGCCTCTGTGTTTGCTCCCATCCTGGAGCACCTCGACATGGAACAATGTTTTGTAAAACCAGACTTGTAGCATTTGTTTCCATGGTCTTCTGAATTCTGCTGTAATTTCTGCATGTATTTAAATGGTAGTGTTTACTTTCTTCCCCCGTTACTGAATTGTCTGAAATCTTAATAACCCTTCAGAACATTGTTTCCTTGACAAGTGCCATGTAAGATATAAATCTATAGTAGCTGTGTTAGCATTCTGTGTGGCTTTAGCATTCTTCTTGAAGTCATCAACACTAGAGGCAGGGAAGGATTATTTGCAAAGGTTGATGGCTTCTGGAAATGGAAGGCAGAAAAAAAGCAAAACTGCATAAAACTCAGATTTTTGAGCTGCTAGATAATGCTGTTGATTTAATGGGTTTGGACTTGTAAATGTTTAGCTGAAGGTTTTTCCTCTGTGTGCTTGAGAGCTGTTATTTACCAGCTACAGAAGCAGTTGTCCCCTTTTCTTTTTGCTTCAATTAACAGCTGTATGAAAGTGCATTTTATGAAAGTGCATTTGTTTCCTCTACGTGCCTCTCCTCAAGTTTTATGACTGGCAGTGAACAGCGGAGTCTTTTTACGATAGCTGACTCCTGAGTGTTAGGTTTGTTCAATACATAAGTGTGTGATTTCACAGCGTGAGTGCCAATTTACCAATACTTAGAGTATTCCACACTGTTTTTCTTCTGCCCCGTTACTTTCATCCTTCAGTATTCCCCGGAATGCTACTGCAAGTGCTGAAATAATAAAGTGTTCAAACTTTCTTTGAAGGCATAGATCCAGGTCGAGGTCCCGTGAACGTCGGTCTAGATCCAGAGATCGTGGTCGTGGAGGTGGTGGTGGAGGAGGAGGAGGACGTGAACGTGATAGGAGGCGATCAAGAGATCGTGAAAGATCCGGTCGATTCTGAGCCATGCCATTTTTACTGTATGTCTGCTAGAAAGTGTTGTAGTTTGACCAAACAAGTTCATAATGAGATTTTTTTTAAAGATGGGCTTCTGAATAAAAAATTTGTAGTGATACAGTATTCTTTGTGTAACTTGTTTCTTGTTGGCGGGGGGGGAGTCTTTTTAACTGTCATTCCTCTATCTTGACAAATACCTGGATTAATACTATGCCTGAGGGAAAGGTGGTAAATGTATTGGAGGAGGGCCAGTTTGGTTTTTTTTTTATTTTTATTTTTTATTTGGACATGATTTGAACTGTTGATGAAAATGTGTGTGTATATAATATGAAATATTATATACATAGTAAAAAAATAATATACTGCTTAAGAAACAGTTACTCAAATAAGTTTCCCTTTTCTGCTATGCTGTCTGCTTATTTAGGTTAGTTTAGGCACATTTAAAAGGAAGGCTGTGCGAAGTGCATTTATTTACCAAGTAGAAACGCTTAGTTACAAAATGTATGTTTGTTTGTTACCAGAAGTCTGTGCTCTGTCTATCAATGTGACTGTGGCATTTACAATAAATTCCAGTTTCTTGATGTAAAATCTAAAGCCTTTTTTCTAAGCACTCCGGAGTAGTTGTGTTGCTACTCCTGGCAGTGCCAGAGTTCATAGCTGAGGGGTTTTTTTATTCTTGACTGATTTCCTCATCTTTGCTAGAAATGAAGTTACCTATTGCAGTGTGTGGGAGGGGTGGGAAACAGTATTTTTGTCTCAGTAGCAATGAGTTTCTTTTTTAAAAACTCATGCTCCATACAACAGGAAACACAGGATCTATTGACAGAAACTAAAGGTCCTAAATGGAAGGCCCACATTTCTTAACAGACTGAATTTTTTCACTGTGTTCTCCTAGCTGTTGCTTAATGAAGAGTGTTTCCCTAGCCTTCGAGATGACAGAGGACTAATTGGATACTGAGGAAAATATATTTTTTTTCCAGTTTTACTTACTTTTGAAGAGATGTAAAGTGTGATGGAGGCTGACAAACAGATGGCAGTTTCTTCACAAGACTTTTTCTGTCTTGGTCCAGTTGAATCGTACAACAGCTATGTATCCTAGGTTGTGCATCCCTTAAGGAGTTTAATTGAAATGTTGCTTGAGAGACTGTACAGTGTACTTGCAATTTCAATTTTATTCAGCTTGTGAGGTAGCATGAAGTTTTGGTCAGTGGTCATATTTATGTCTGTAAAGCTACCTAATGCAATAATAATAGCTTTCTGATGTGACAGAGCATTTACCAGCTCTTTAATTCTTAGAGTGTGGTAACTTGATAAGTGATAGATCTGCTCCTCAATCATTTAAAGTAAATAAAAGGATAATAAAGGATATGGAAGTGTTGCATAGACAGATTAACAAACCAAAATGAAAAATCACTTTGCTTGCTGTAACTTGGAGATGGCGAAGAAAAAATGTATTAAAAAGTGCATTTCTAAATGAATATAAGTTGTCTTTTAGAACTACATTCTTGTACCAACTTAAATTGAATTTATTACATTTGTTCTGAGTGGTTTGACCAACCAGTTTGTGGAATTTTTTCTGCCATAACTTTTAAAAAGAAAGGTATCAATACATGAAGACAGCTTCACTATTTATATTTTGTTGCAAATACATGAACTATGAATTCTTTTTTGGTGGAAGAAGTTGATTGGTGCCTAGAATAGATGGCTGAACTGAAACCTGTGATATGTCTGCTAGGTATGAGGAATTTAACATTGATAACTTAGTTCTGGTCTAAAGGGCATTAATCCAGTTCCATTTCCTGAATGAGATTTAGGATTATTAGTGAACTAATTTAAATCTCAAGCTCAAAAAGGTGAGAATAGCCACTAGTTTTTAATACGGTATCCAGTATAATGTGGTTACTAGTGGTTACTACTTAAAATGCTTAAGATCTTTTTTCACATGGGTTATTGGCACAAGCTAGTTTGCTGTATAAACAAATTCATTTTAAACGAGTATAAATGTGTCTTTATAATGGCTTTCATCTGTTTATCTAAGCAGTGCTGAACAGCAAGTACATTTTTTTGTGTGAACAGATAGCAAACAGTTTTCCTCCTCCTCTTGTTACTGGAAGATGTCTTAAAGGGCGCTGAAAGCAACGAGTTTTACTGGTGATGGCATTCAGCATGTAAACCAAGCTCATAATACAGCATCAGTGATGTTCACCCTTAAGGATGTATGCTACCAATAAAATTAATCCCATCTGAAATGTAAACTGCACAAATTTAGATAAACGTGGTAGTCCAAACCTGATTCATTTACCAACGCAAAGGTAGGGAATCCTACTTGCCCATTCTGTTCTTATATGTATAGAGTTGAATTTTTCCCTCCCTCCCTATAGGTCCTGTTTTTCACAGAAACATTGTTGTTGGCTCTTAACAGTGGGTCTGATCTTACGGAATTCCTATACCTCAAATAAGTGACAGCATACAGTATTTTCAGAAGTCTGAGTCAATTAGGTTGAAAATGTTAATCCCGAGTGGCTTCCTCTTATTTGTATTTGGCTCTTATTCTGTGGAAATGCTGCTTGTCCATGAATATGATGTATGTTGAGACTGTAAAACCAAATGGAGAAAATTTGTTCAAAAATAAAGCCTTTTTTTAATAAGAATCTGACAAAAATTATCCCTTTCCTTTAAATGGGATGCTGCTCTTTAAATCACTGATGAGGACATAGACTACACGTTTTAAATTCTCAGCTTTTGGCTCAAGTCACTTTCAAATGATCCTTTGACTTGTTTTTGTAGGGCTGGTGGAGCATGCCTTCAATACATAACAAAACAATGATATTTACTTCATAAAGTTGAACTGTCAAAAGAGTGTAACTTGGTGGGTTGGTTGCTGTTTATTTTCCTAACCTGATAAGGGCTCTTCTATTGTGGTAATGTATAGAGAACAAGAAAGCTCATTTTGACAGAAAAAAAAAGAAGTGTTGAGGAAACAAGTGACTGAGAAGGGGGACAATTTTTTGGAGGTGATTCTTTTTTTCCCCAGTGTTGCATGGATTGTACTGCAAAACTTTTGCAATGGACACAACCATTAATTCCCACTGTTACTTTTACAATTGCAGCTTGTACCAAGTATGCTGTCTTTTAACATAGCAGAACGTGAACTGCTTTTGTATCAGGTAGGGAAAGTATTAATCACTGGGTTCTCCAAGCACTCACTTAGGAGGGTTCTGAAAATCGGTCCTGTTTGAGGAAGTGTCAGAGCTGAAAAAAATGATACTGACTTGGTGTGTGCTCACATCAGCTGGTAAGGAAGTAACACCTAATAGGTAAGACTGTCATGGGAGAGAATACATATAGCTGTGCTAATTTACTACAAAGGTGAGCCTGAGGTATATACTACTGAGCATAGCTTTATACTGGAATGTGTGAATTTCCATTTTAAAAAAACAGAATTAAACCAGATGTCTGTAGAACAAATCAGCCTGTCTTTGCATCGAAAAGATACATGATGCATCCTAAAACTATGCACAAGTATTTCTGAATTTATCCAATTAGCCAATTTTATTTACCGCATTATATTTACAAATGTCTCCTGGTTCTTTTTGCAGTTTTCAATATGTGTATATAGGAAATGGAGCATGTCTCTTGGACTGTGTGAATGATCCATGCTCCTCAGCAGTGTGCTCACCAGTCATAAACATCTGATCTTCTAGTGCTGAGTGTCATGCTTCATTTCCTATAAAGCTAACCTTTAGCAAGAAGAAAGAACAGCAAAGGACAACGCCATCCACAGCTGCACACAGTTTCAGCAGCTGCACCAGAGCTATTTTAGAAGGTCCCATCTTGCAGAGATGAAAGTTCCTGCCAAAAAGGCGTCAATTCAATTGCTCTGAAGTTTCAGCTGTAAATTGACTTTTGAAAACAGTTTGAACAGTGAGAGCTACCAGACCGTATCTGCCAGCAGACCAGCTCTGGTAGCCAGCATCTTCATTTCTCCATATGTGAAGTGGGAGAGAGAAAGGTGATGGTTATCAGCTCTGTACGTTCTTCATTGCACTCTGACGGTTGCTAGTTCAGTACTTTTCTCATACTTTAAGTTTTGGTGGCTGCTTTCTGACTAGATTGTTTTGGCAGGACTAAAGGCAAATACAAGTTACATGCATTCTTACATCAGCAGAGCAGCACTGTGATAGCTTCTGATGAAATGGTGGCATTCAAGTGAGGCTTTGGGCTGTAGTTTCCCAGGTGAGCTGTGGCCCAGTTTGTGTGAGTACAGTTTTCCCTTTGATTGAAGTATCTTAGAAATATTCAGAGTTCTGATGATTGTTCCCACTAGGGAGAAAACTTACAATCCATATTCCTTTGAGACAAACTCATTGGTTTCTGAAGAAGGCATGCAGAATGCTGTTCTCCTGAGCAGGGCTAGAGCACTGTACTGACTTCAGTTGTCAGTTTCTAAAGCTGCTCTTTTGGTTAAGTCTGAAGGAATTAAATAAATTAAAACGTTCCTGCCCTGCTTTTACTGGGCTATGAGACAAAGTGTGGATACAGGCTTCGCATAGCAAATGAGCCAGTCTCCCTGCCCCTCTGTTTTTCACTGAAAGCTCTACAGTCTGCCAGGTTTAGGCCTGCTGTGTTTTTGCTGGCAGCTGGCTCAATTTCAAGCATTGCCACCTATGCAACTGAATTTTGGCTGTATTTCCAGCCCATTTTCACTTGTTTCTTGGAGCTGCTTGGGATTCCAAATAGGAGAAAGGAAAGACGAAGCTGCTTCCATTGCAGCCAGGTGTAGCAGCAAACCTTCTGGGCCTGAGGAGCAACTCTGAGCCTGAAGAGCCAAAGGAGCACCTGCTCTCCTTTTCCTGCTATCCCATTTCCCCTTGAAAGCTAATATTTGTGTTTAAGAGAAAGTTGAGAAGGCTGCACAGCTCAGAACAGTCCTGTGTCATTTGCTACTGTCCCTTCCTCCTTTTTCGCTAGTGAATGTGGAAGTGGCTTCATCCTTTCTTCCTCCTATGCTGGTGGAGAAAAAAAAAAAATGTCCAACAGCTGCAAGAGAAAGGCTTGATAAAAGAACATTGAGGCAGTATGTGAAAAAGTGATTTCTGGACAAAGCGTAAGAATGAAGTGAGTAGACTGCCCTACTGGCTTTAAAGTTGTTGTGTTGCTGGGCTAGGGATGGGCAAGGGAAATTCCAAAGCCTAAGGCCAAAATCTGACCGAGAAATAGCCTCATGAAGGTCCGGACCAGTTTTTTCATTCTGGAGGGCTTTGACTCATGGTTTTTGACTCTTTCACATGACCATGTTGACCACAACAGAGATGTTTAATTGCCCTTCTTTGCTTAGCCTCTGAGGAAGGAAGCCTTTGGTCTTTAGCCAGCTATATGAGTCTCAAACACACACGGTAGCACTTTAACTCTGTTCAGAATGACCATCTTCAGCAAAGGGAATAGATTTGTAGATGAAGGCAGACTAATGGATGATATCCTGCCTGTGGGACTGTAGATGACTTAAGCAGGGTTTCAGACAGCCTCTCACTCCATCCAAACTGTGTTCTCACAGTTTGAATGGGCAACTCACCAAAGAACTGGCTGGG